ATGGAGGAAACTGAGCCCAGAATTTCCAGGTCTTACCATTTGTCAAAAGAAGCTGTCATCTGGTTTTTAATTATGTGACATTACCTGATTTCTAATATTATCAACTAATATTTATTCATAAGCACTGTTGTGATAAACAAAATGCATCCATCACTTTTCAACATCCAATTTAAATAAGTTACAAGGGCAGGCTTTTCTGTTGCTAGCGACCATCAAATCAGCCCCCTGACCTACCAGCAGAGCTGTCTTTCTGCAGGGGAAAGAACTTAGTGAATACTGAACACCATGTGTGCTGAGCAGACATGTCACTGTGGTGTTTTTCTTTCCATTTCATCTGCTCTCCACAGGGGAAAGAACTTAGCGAATACTGAACACCACGTGTGCTGCGCAGACATGTCACTGTGGTGTTTTTCTCTCCATTTCATCTGCTCTCCCCTCTCCAGCCTGCCCTGTGTAGTCGTTCATCACACGCCCCTCCCCAGATATCAGCCTCTCTTGATTGTTGTGTTGTCATCTATGGGAACCTCAGTGATTATGAGTAGATTACTTTCTCATATTAATGACATCATTTGGAGAGTCTATGCTTTGGAACCCTTTTGCTTTGGTTTTGGCATAGAAACCTGTGGTGTCTTACGAAAATGCTTTTAGTTGCAAAAAGCAGAATCCAGCTGCACACTATGGCTCACATATGTAATCCCAACACTTTGGAAGTCCAAGGCAGGCAGGTTGCTTGAGCCCAAGAATTCCAAACCAGCCTGAGCAACATACTGAGATCCCGTCTCTACAGAAATATAAAATTAGCCAGGCATGATGGCATGTACCCATAGTCCTAGCTATTCAAGAGTTGGAGGCAGGAGGATCACTTGAGCCCAGGAGGTCAAGGCTGCAGTGAGCCATGTTCATGCCACTGCATTCCAGCCTGCGTTACAGAGTGACACTCTGTCTCAAAAATAAATAAGTAAAAGAAGCAGAATCCTCTCTCTTAGCTTAAGAGAGGGAAAAAAGTGAATTTTTTAAAGGAATACAGGGTGTTTCATGAAACTTAAGGACAAATATTCACTCAGATCAGTGAAAAGGGCTCTAAGTGACTGGAAAATATATTAGGAACCCTGACAACTCTCTTAAGCTTTTCTTCTTAGGCCACATGATTTCTCTTGCCTCCTCTCTTTTTTTTTTTTTTTTTTTTTTTTTTTTGAGATGGACTCTTGCTCTGTCACCCAGGCTGGAGCACAGTGACATGATCTTGGCTCACTGCAACCTCCGCCTCCTAGGTTCAAGCAATTCTCCTGCCTCAGCCTCCCAAGTAGCTGGGATTACAGACACATACCACCACACCCAGCTACTTTTCATATTTTTTTAGTAGAGACAAGGTTGAATGTTGGCCAGGCCAGTCTTGAACTTCTAACCTCAAGTGATCCTCCTGCCTTGGCCTCTCAAAGTGCTGGGATTACAGGCACGAGCCACCACACCCAGCTCTCTTGCCTCCTTCTAGCTACTTGTCTTCCTCATTCTTTCTGCAGATGGCTTTCCCTTTCTCCATACACACACAAACAATGCTGCCCATAAACAAGCAAGTTTTTATACTCTCGGATCCAATTCCAGATTCCCTGGGCTGAGGTTCTGATTGGCCCAGTTTGAGTCAGGTGTCTATCCCTTGCCCAGTCAACTGACGCCAAAGGGGCACGACCAAGTAAACCCTGGGCATAATGCCCACATTTGTCATGAAATGGTTAGACACATCAGAAAGATATCTACAGTTGAATAGTCTAGAATAAAATTATGTGTTGATAAAAGGAATATTGACTAATATGAGGGAGGTCCAAAGCAAAATGGAAAGGGAAAAAGGATGATTTTCTTTTTTAGATGGAATTTTGCTCTTGTCGCCCAGTCTGGAGTGCAGTGGCAAGATCTCGGCTCATTGCAACATCGCCTCCCAGGTTCAAGGGATTCTGCTGCCTCAGCCTCCCAAGTAGCTGGGATTACAGGCACCTGCCACCATGCCTGGCTAATTTTTTTTGTATTTTTAGTAGAGACAGGGTTTCACCATGTTAGCCAGGCTGGTCTCTAACTCCTGACCTCACGCGATCCACCAGCCTTGGCTTCCCAAAGTACTGAGATTACCAGTGTGAGCCAACATGCCCAGCCTGATTTTTTAAATCAGTAAATAAACTTATTTGGATTATGGGACAATGAGTAACTTTAAATATTTTATGAGTTATGACATATTCCTTAATGGATTCATACTGTCTTATCTTTTGAGCATTATTTTATTATATCTTTCTGTAGGGCATACACCCAGTATTGGCTTTCGAAGGTTGTTTTACTAAAGAAGTAAAGTGATTTAAACTGACACATTTATTTAGTTCTCTCTTAATTATTTCCTCCTCTGGTATAGAAAAGTAGAAAAAAAGGTGACTTTTTTCTTTTTTTAGTTAGACATTAATTCAAATCTTGTCTTGGCTGTTTTCTTGCCCAGGTAACTTTGAGTAAATTACCATAAACTCTGTACTTCAATTTCCTGTCTATAAAATGGGGATGTTGCCATGTTGTACATTTTTGTAGAGCTTTACTGAGAGACTACATGTAAAGTGCCCAGCTCAGTGCCTAGAACTAATAAAGATTTATTCCCTTTCCCCTGGCCACCTACAGTGTATATTTGACCTTGACTTTGCAGAATTAAGGAAATAGGCTGTGGCCATGGGACAAAGACAAGCTTACTCACTTACCTCTTAGCGCTACCTCAGTGGTTCCTGTAGACCACATCTTCATAGTTTTTAGACTCTTAGAGCAGAGTTCATTCAAAAATATGCATTCAATAATTAGTGTTTTCACATTGAAAACATGTTACTTATTCCAGTCTGAGCCTCAATTTGTTTATCTGTTAAATGGGGATAATAATACTAATCCCAGAAGGTAACTGTGCTGCTCAGAGATAATATATAGAAAACACCTCATGCAATGCTGAATATAGGTTGTTGGTATTCAGTAATGGAGGCTATTTTCTTTTTCAATTAGGATTATATGTATCTGAGTTTCCAGGTCTTACAGTTTTGTACAACGGCTTAGAGACAAAATGCTGCCCCTGCTTTTCAAAAGTAACCTTGCTAGGTTACTTCCACATCCATGGACAAAGCTAGATGGCAAAGTTCATGGTGACATTGCTTGTGATATCAAAAGATTGGAAAGAACCTGTTTCTCTTGTTCAATTATCATGTATCCACACAATGATTATAGAGAATAGTATAGAGTCTTTAAAAAGAATGAGGTCCATCTCTGTGTGCTGATACCGGAAAGATCACTAAGAAATACTGAACTTAAAAAGCAAGAGGCAAAACAGCAAGTGAAGCATAGTCCTACTTGAACTGAAAAAAAAAGCAACAACAAAAAAATATATGTATATATACACACACACATACATGGATACACACATATATACACACATATATATCAAATTTCTGGAAGGTTATACTCACACAGAAATATTAAGAGTACTTCATTTGCAAAACAACATATTCAATATAATAATATATACTAAAGTAAAATATGAAAATTTTTAATATGTAAATATATATGTGAAAATACCTATGCAAGTGGTCTGTGAGGATTCTTCTCAAACTAACAGGACAGTGATTTCTGCAGATAAAATGGTTTGGAACATGAGTTAATTAAGGAGTATCTTGGCATTCTATGCACTGTTTAAGTATTTTACAGATTTTTTCAGTATTGCAATTCTGAATAAGAAAAAACTAAATATAATTGGAAATTTATATATCAAACTGTTCTTATGTATCCTAACTGTTCTTAACTATGGTGGGGATATACTAAAAGTGGAGGAGGAAGTTTCCAAAATGAAGACTTTCCATTTTTATTTTAAGAGATGAGGTCTGTGTTGCCTACAGTCTTGGGTGCAGTGGCTATTCACAGGCGTGATCATGGCTCACTACAGCCTTGAACTCCTGCCTCAAGCGATCCTCCCACCTCAGCCTCTTGAGTAGCTGGGAGTATAGGTGCATGCCACCATACCCAGAGAGACCTTAAACACATCGATGAATAAAGGCGGGTTTTTTTCTTTTTTTGGAAAAGAGTCTTTCTCTGTCACCCAGGCTGGAGTGCAGTGGTGCAATCTCAGATTACTGCAGCCTCGACCTCCCAGGCTGAAGTGATTCTCCCAACTCAGCCTCCTGAGTAGCTGGGACTACAGTCACATGCCACCATACAAGGCTAATTCTTGTATTTTTTGTAGAGAGGGGGTTTCGCCATGTTGGTCAGGCTGATCTCAAACTCCTGGCCTCAAGCAATATACCTGCTTGGCTCCCCAGAGTGTTGGGATTACAGGCATGAGCCGCTGTGCCCCCTGAATGAAGGCTGTTTTTTTTTTAGACAGTCTCGCTGTGTCACAAAGTTGTAGTGTAATGGTGTGATCACGGCTTACTCCAAACTCCACTGCCTGAGTTCAAGCAAATTCTCAGGCCTTAGCCTCCTGAGTAGCTAGGATTACAGGTGCACACCACATGCCTAGCTAATTTTTGTATTTTTAGTAGAGATGGGGTTTCACTATGTTGCTCAGGCTGGTCTCAAATTCCTGGCCTCAAGTGATCCACCTGCCTCAGCCTCCCAAAGTGCTAGGATTGCAGGCGTGAGCCATTGTGCCCAGCTGGCTTTTTTTTTTTTTTTTAACAAAACATTAATTCCAGGAAAAATACTGTAGTTTCCTCTGGGATGAGACCTGCATTTCATGTAATAATTTTGTGTGCTTTGCTTGAACTTGTATGGGCATTATTTTTGCAATATATTGGCTAGCCTGTGCTCTTTGTTCTTTTCTTTTTTTAAATCCAAGTTACTCCCATATAATAAATGTTTCTGGCCAAGCCTGTTGATTAACTCAACTAAAGCCATTTTTAGGCTGAGTACATGTCATATAAAATAAGTGATACAATGAGTCCAGAGGTTTGCTTGCCAGCCCTGGCCCTAACACCACTCTTCCTGTTTTGTCCCCACAGATGACAGAAGGCAGGCACTGCCAGGTGCACCTCCTGGATGATAGGAGACTGGAGCTGCTGGTTCAGGTAGGTGTTGTCCAAATGTGTATTACTCAATTAGGTGTTGCCCAGGTAGGTTTTGCATGGGTAGGTGTTGCCCACACAGAGACAGCTCATCCTCATTCCCTCTCTGAGCCTCATAGTCTGTACTCAGCCTTCTCCCTTATTTTTGCCTCAAAATCAGTGACTCAAAGTGGATCAAAGGGAAAAAAGCATCTTCAAAGTCAGAAAAGCTGGTCCATATGTAAGGGTAATTATAGCCTGGTGACATGGATTCAGAGGCACTTGGGTTCCAATTCAGTCTGACACTTAATAGATCTGTGACCCTGGGAAATTGACTTTACTTCTCTGAACCTCTTGTTGGTAAATTGGGAAGCATAGTACTTCCTGAAGGGATTATTGTGAGGTGGGACTCTGCATTCTGCCACTGTCCAGCTACACGGTATTGTGCAAGTGAAATACCCAGTTTCATCAACTGGGAACTGCCTAGGCTTCCCAGAAGAATTATGGTTAAAAATCAAGCTAGATTATATATGTGAGTAAAATATATGGCACTATATAAGTGAGAGAGTGTCTGTGTGTGTGTGTGTGTGTGTGTGTGTGTGTATTTTTTTTTCTTGAGATGTAGTCTCACTCTGTTGCCCATGCAGTGGCATGATCTCAGCTCACTGCAACCTCTGCCTCAACCGGAGGTTCAAGCGATTCTCCTGCTTCAACCTCTTGAGTATCTGGGACTACAGGCCCCCTCCATCTCCCCCGGGTAATTTTTATATTTTTAGTAGAGATTGGGTTTCACCATGTTGGCCAGGCTGGTCTCAAACTCCTGACCTCAAGTGATCCACCCACCTCAGCCTCCCAAAATGCTGGGATTACAGGCGTGAGCCACCGCACCCAGCCAAGCAATGATATTTTAATTGTTGATGCTTCTATTTCTATTCACCCAACACTATGGACCAAGAGTCTCTCAAAATTGTGAAAGTCCCTGCGGACAGGCCACACCTACAGCTAGCCTAGAATTTTCTCCTCTAACCAAACCTAAATTCTTTTCTCTTCCAAGGCCTGTCCTTAGCCCACTATCCTTAGGCTTCAATTTGAGTGAAATAGTACAGTCAACAGTAGCTTTGCCAAAGTAGACCTTTAGTCTAGAGTCTGCCTGTTTCTTTTTTTTTTTTTTCCTTTAAATCATGTCCATTTTTTTCCTCCAACAGCCATTGTAATATACCCTAAACTGTTTGGCTCCAAGTTCAAAAAGAATCCATCCAGAATGCCTCCTGCAAGCATTCCCCTTTTCTTCCCCAGTCCCTGCAAATCCAGCATCAATTATCACTCCAGGCATTCTGGCTGATTCCAAACCCATATTTCTTCTCACCAGATCCAGAGCTTCCCAAAAACATATAGATTATATCCCTCTTCTCACTAGATACTTAATACTATTGATGATGATGTATGCAATGGGTACAATATCTCCATTTCAGAAGAAAAGTTTAGGCTTTAGAAGGAGACAGACGAGATTCAAATCCCTGCCCTTACTAACAGTGTAACATCAAGTAAGGTGCTTAATCACTCTGGGCCCTGGTTGACTCATTTATAAAATGGAAATAAAAAGCCCCACCTCATAGCTCATTATAAGGATTAAATGACTATATATATAAGTTCAGCAAAATAAATGGAAACTATTTATTATTAGTAGTATTAGTATTATTTTCATCAGTAGCCCCACAGCTTTGAGTCTGGACTTCTTCAACTGGCCACCAACAAGCAAAATGATTCCTCCAGTCTTTTATATGTCACAGATAACCAAGCAGCAAGCTGTTTAATATTCTTTGTCCTGGGCATTAGCACCGCATTACATATAAAAGAGTATTTTTTCCCAAAACCACATCTTAGTAAAGGCACCTTAGAGGGAAAATGTAAGGCACTTGAGTGAATTGCAAATACATGAAAATGATGGTCTCATTGATATTTCTATTCCCATCTCTTCTCTTTCCAACAATTCTTAAAGGATTGTTGGCCTGGCTTGGTGGCTCATGCCTGCAATCCCAGCACTTTGAGAGACTAAGGCGGGTGGATCACCTGAGGTCAGGAGTTCGAGACCAGCCTAACCAACAAGGTGAAACCCTGTCTCTACTAAAAATACAAAAATTAGCCAGGCGTGGTGGTGGCCACCTGTAGTCCCAGCTACCTGGGAGGCTGAGAAACGAGAATTGCCCAGGAGGCAGAGGTTATAGTGAGCCGAGATTATGCCATCGCACTCCAGCCTGGGCAATGGAGTGAGACTCCATCTCAGAAAAAAAAAAAAAGAATTGTCTGTAGTACATCAACCTAATCCACAAACAGGGGCAGGCAATAGAAAACAAACAAACAAACAAAAGCTGCTTTAAACTATTTAGGGCAGAGGAAGGTAGTAGCAGTAAGAGAAGGACAACCACATTGCTTCTAACCAGATTTTTATTTTGCCAGCCCAAACTTTTAGCAAGAGAGTTGCTGGACCTCGTGGCTTCACATTTCAACCTGAAAGAAAAGGAGTATTTTGGAATAACATTCATAGATGACACGTAAGTCTTTTAATAGTTTTAGTTTCTTTACCTTTTGCGTGGGCTACCTACTTGCTGTCATCCATAAGTAACAAGAAAGGAAATAAGTCCTACAGGAATTAGAACATGTCCTGCTTAAAGGTTTTTTAATATGCGATTTGTCCCCTAGGACTATTGCAAAGGAAGAAGAAAAGGAATAATGACCATTTTAGTACTCAAAACATTGTTTTCGAAATTTGTAGTAATGGCTGGACGCAGTATCTCATGCCTATAATCCCAGAACTTTGGGATGCCATGGCAGACGGATCACAAGGTCAGGAGTTCAAGACCAGCCTGACCAATATGGTGAAACCCCATCTCTACTAAAAATACAAAAATTAACTAGGCATGGTAGCGCACAGCTATAGTCGCAGCTACTCAGGAGGCTGAGGCAGGAGAATAATTTGAACCCGAGAGGTGGAGGTTGCAGTGAGTTGAGATCACACCACTATACTCAAACTTGGGTGACAGAGTGAGACTCCATTTCAAAAAAAAAAAAAAAGGAAATTTGTAGTAATGAGTTTGTTTTTCCTGATTATAGTGTATACTCAATGCTTTGAATGTGGTTGTGCTTGCTAATTTAGCTTATGTATCAGTGATAGAAATACTAGACATTTACTCACATCTTGAAACTGAGTTGATGTGTTGGTGTTGGTGACAAGAGAGCTTAAAGGTAAATTTGTGGCCCACCCAAAAAACATGTATATAGTTTAATATGGAATGAACTTTTAAACTACCACTTAGGTCCATCTTATGTTACCTTCTCAACTGTCTCTTTTTTTTTTTTGCTTTTTATGCTAAGTTGTTGAATAGTATATATATATTTGTCAACAAGATATATGCTCCCTGAAAGAAGGCAGGTAAATAAAAATAAATTTATGAGAATTTAAAACTCTATATAAATGCCAGATCCAAGATGGCTGATCGCTAACAGCTCAGGATTGTAGCTCCCAGTGAAAGCTCAGAGAACGAGAGGATGCCACACTTTCAGATGAATTTTTGTTGCTCATGGACCAGGAGATTCCCAGCGGAGGAGCCCCACGGGTCACCAGCACAACTCTTGTGGCCGGCATGGCGGTTTTGCTGGCGCCTTGGCGCGGCGGTTCTTGGTGCAGAATAAACAGGACTGGTTCCCCTTTTGACTGACGTTTGGAGCTCCAAGAAGGCAGAGTCGCCTATTCAGCTGATTGAAGGACAGACTCAAGAAGGAAGCCAGACCGGAGATTCCCAGGCAGAAAAGCACCATCAATCTTAATGCCGCTGTTTTAGCCAGTGCAGTGGGTTGCTCAGATTCTGGCACTGGGAATCAATAAATTGGACATCCACTCAGAAACCTAATTAGAAAGGTGGTAATTACAAAGACGACAGATGTATTAATTTATAACAAAGGGAAGAAACCAGCCTAAAAAGGCTCAGAATACCCAAAATCAAAAGGCCTCTCCCTCTACAGGGGATTACAGTTCCTCATCAGCAACGGAACAAGGCCTGATGGAGAAAGATTGTGTTCCATTAACAGAAGTAGGCTTCAGAAGGTGGATGATAAGAAACTTCTGGGAGTTAAAAGAACTTGTTCTAACCCAATGCAAAGAAACTAAGAACTTTGAAAAAAGGTTTGATGAAATGCTAACAAGAATAGACAATATAGAGAGGAATATAAGTGAATTAACAGACTTGAAAAACACAACACAAGAACTTCGCGAAGTATGCACAAGTTTTAACAGCCAGATTGATCAAGCAGAAGAAAGGATATCAGAGGTCAAATACCAACTTAATGAAATAAAATGAGAAGACAAGATTAGAGAAAAAAGGATAAAAAGGAATGAGCAAAGTCTCCAAGAAATATGGGACTATGTGAAAAGACCTAATCTATGTTTGACAGGTATACCTGAATGTGACGAAGAGAATGAATCCAAGCTGGAAAATACTCTTCAGGATATTATTCAGGAAAACTTTCCCAACCTAGCAAGGCAGGACAATATTCAACTCCAGGTAATACAGAGAACACCACAAAGATAATCCTCAAGAAGAGCAACCCCAAGGCACATAATCGTTAGATTCACCACAGTTGAAACGAAGGAGAAAATACTAAGGGCAGCCAGAGAGAAAGGTCAGGTTACCCATAAAGGGAAGCCTATCAGACTTACTGCAGATCTCTCAGCAGAAACCCTACAAGCTAGAAGAGAGTGGGGGCCAATATTCAACATCCTTAAAGAAATGAACTTTCAACCCAGAATTTCTTATCCAGCCAAACTAAGCTTCACAAGCGAAGGAAAAATAAAATCTTTTATGAACAAGCAAGTACTCAGAGATTTCATCACCACCAGGCCTGCTTTACAAGAGCTTCTGAAAGAAGCATTACACACAGAAAGGAGCAACCAGTATTAGCCTTTCCAAAAATATACCAAAAGTAAAGAGCATCAACATAATGAAGAATTTACATCAACTAATGGGCAAAACAGCCAGCTAACATCAAATGGCAGTAATCCTAAATTTAAATCGACTAAATCCCCCAATCAAAAGATACAGCCAAAACTCATCAGTATGCTGCATCCAGACCCATCTCACATGCAAGGATACACAGAGACTCAAAACAAAGGAATGGAGAAAGATTTACCAACCAAATGGAGAGCAAAAATAAATAAATAAATAAATAAATAGCAGAATTCTCGCCTCTGATAAAATAGATTTTAAAGCAACGAAGATATAATGGTAAAAGGATCAATGCAACAAGAAGAGCTAACGATCCTGAATATATATGCACCCAATACAGGAACACCCAGATATATAAGACCTATAAAGAGACTTAGACTCCCACACAATAATAGTGGGGGACTTCAACATCCATATTAGACAGATCAATGAGACAGAAAATTAATAAGGATATCCAGGACTTGAACTCAGATCTGGAACAAGTAAACTTAATAAATATTTATAGAACTCTCCACTTTAAATACACAGAATATACACTCTTATCAGTACCACATCACACCTACTCACAGGTTTAAATGAAATATTGGTTGGCCATTATTAAGCACAATTACTGGCATAAAAGAGGTTTTCAATACCCATTTTTAGAATAAAGCAACACTCCCATTCTCTCTCCCTCTTCCTCTTTCTTCCTCTCCTTCATTTCTTTTTTTCTTTCTCTTTTTTTTTAAAGAAAGTAAATGCCATAAACTATCATAAAAATCCAAGAACTCACAGGAAAAAAAAAAGAAAACTTTATATAAGCAAAAACTCTATGTAAGCAAATGTGTTGGGACTTACTAGCTTTTTTCTCTTTCTCTCCCCGTGTGTGTGTGTGTGTGTGTGTGTGTGTGTGCGCGCGCGCGCGCGCGCGCGCTCGCGCGTGTGTCTGTCTGTCTGCCTGCCTGCCTGCCTGCCTGCCTGCCTGCCTGCCTGCCTGTCTTTTTTATGGCGGCCCAATTTACCCACATTATATGCAGCCAGATACATTATCAGAGGAATGCTTCCTCTTTCTATGCATAATTTCCAAAGAGCTTCTTAAATATTAAAATGTAAGAAGATATGTTCCAGACATAAAATATGTTGGCCAGCCATGCAGCATTCTTTTCATAATGCTGGCAATTTAGATGTTTTTTTTTTTTTCAGTTCTTCAGTTTAATCAATGGAAAATCATCTCAAGAAGGAGTTAATTTACTTTTAACACCTTGTGATCTCCCATTATTCCTGGCCTGGGTGGGCTGTGAGCCTAGGACCTCCAAGATATACCAGTAGGCTCAGGACTTGGGCTTGGCAAAAACCAGGCAGCCGAATTGTCAAGAGAAGTAGAAAAAACCTGAAAACTTTGATTCTGGATTGAGGATGTTTCCCAAAGAGAGTTCAGCAAGACAGAAGAGAGTGCACTGGACATCTCTCACCTCACTCTGAATCACTCAACAGCTGCCATTTGAGAGGCTCTGTATGACATGTCCTCTGCTGGATGAAATGGGAAATGCCGATGTCCACTGACAACAAGTTCATGCTGGAAAGCCAGCACCAGCTCATGTGAATCAGTATGAACACACACACAAATAGGCTGAATCCAAATGTGGATGAAATCATAGCAAACAGTATAAGACATAAAGCCATAAATATACAATGGCTAGGTTATATGGCATGAACTGTAATTATAGTACTATAAGCACTATAATTTAGACAGAGGTCATATAGAGTAGAGGTTAAGAACATGAATACTGGAGTAATTTATTCACTGAAAAATATTAGCTGGGTGTGATAGTTCACACTTGTAATCCCAGCACTTTAGAGGGCTGAGGCAGGTAGATCCCTTGAGTCTAGGAGTTTCGGAGATGCCTAGGCAACATAGGGAGACCTCATCTCTACAAAAGATTAAAACATTAGCCAGGCATGGTGACACACATCTGTAGTCCCAGCCACTTGGGAGGCTGAGGTGGGAGGAAAACTTGAGCCCAAGAGTCAAGGCTGCACTGAGCTATGATGATGGCACTACTGCAGTCCAGCCTGGGCGACAGAGTGTGACCTTGTCTCAAAAATATATATATATTTACATTAAGAATGGCTCACACCTGTAATCTCAGCACTTTGGGAGACCAAGGGTGGGAGTATTGTGTGAGGCCAGGAGTTCAAGACCAGCCTAGGCAACATAGAGAGATCCCATCTCTACCAACACACACACACAAATAAAAAATCAGCTAGGTGTGGTGATGTACAAACTCTAGTCCTAGCCACTCAGGAGGCTGAGGCCAAGGTGGGAGGATTACTTGAACCTAGGAGTTCAGTGCTACAGTGAGCTTATGATTATGCCAACACTCCAGCCTAAGCAATACAGCAAGACCCCATCTCTAAAAATAAAAAATAAAATATTTTTTGAATGCTCACCCAATACCAGGTGTTGTTCTAGATCACAACGATTCAGCAAGGAGTAACACAGACAAGGCCCCTGCTTTTATGGCGCTCATACTGCAATGGTATAGTCTGGCACAAAAAGTAAACAGATAAAG